CTTCAAGGAAATAAAGCAAACATTGCTGACATTCATATGAAACTATGAAAACACCTAATAGTGAAAGCAATATTTATCAAAACAGTATGGCATTTGAATAAAAGTATACACACATATCAATGAAATAGAATTGCGAACTCAGAAATAAACCCACATTTTTATGGATGGTTAATTTACGATGAAGGAGTCAAGAGAATACAATGGAGAAAGGAAAAGTTTCTTCAACAGATGGTGTTGGGTAAAGTGGACAGCCACATGTAAAAGAAAGGAACTAGACCTTGTCTCACTTCATATACAAAGATTAATTGAAAATTGATTAAAGACTAGGACATAAGATCTAAATACATAAAAATATATAGGAGAAACACAGGCAAAACACTCCATGACATTGGCTTTAGAGATGTCTCTGGAGAGTTGCTCCAATGGCAAGAGAAACAAGCAAATATAAACAAATGGGATTACATCAAAATGAAAGGTTTTTGCAAGGCAAGAGAACTATCATTAAAATGAAAATGCACTTTGGTCCTCCCTGGTGGCACAGCAGTTAAGCACTGGGCTGCGAAGCTGCCTGCAGCCTCTGAGGCGCTGGTTTGGTCCTCAGCCACCGGGTGAGGGTCCCACATGGCTCGCAGACCTCTCCTGCTGCCCGCTGCTCCCCTCAGCAGTGTACTTCGTCAGTCGGCCTGTTCTGTTCCCCACTCTGGCTCTGGTGAATTCTCTCACCCTCCTGTGCTTCTGACTGTACCCAGTGCTTGTATAAATGATAAATAAATAAATCTTTAAATAAAAAGAAAATGCACTTCACCAAATGGGAGAAAACACTTTCACATCATACATCCAACAAGGGTCAGTATACAAGATCTACAATGAGCTCATATAACTCAACAATAAAACAAAATGGGCAAAAGAACTACAAAAAGAATTCTCCAAAGATGACCACAGGCACATAAAAAAATGCTCATCATCGCTTATCTCCAGGGAAACATACATCAAAACCACAATGAGCTATTACTTCACACCAGTGAGAATGACCCAAACAAAAAGACCAGATACAACAAGCATTGTTGAAGGTGTGAAGAAAAAGGTAAACTTCTATGCTTTGGGTGGGAATGTAAACTGGTCCACCCTCTACAGAAAACATCATGGCAATCTCACAAAATATTAAAAGTAGACTCAGCAATCCCATTCCTAGATATCTATATGAAAAATATAAAAATACTCATTTGATATACACAATGGAAGACAGAAATAAACTGCAAAAAGAAATAAAACTGCCACTTGTGACAACATGGGTAGAGCTGGAGGGGATTATGTTAAGCTAAGGAAGTCAGAAGGAGAAAGATGAATACTAGATGCTTTCACTCATATGTAGACTATAAAGAAACAAAGCAAAGGAATGGACAAAACAAATCCTTGGAATCTGACCATAGTACTGAGGTCACCAGAGGGGCAGGGGTGGAGCAACGAGTGGAAGGCAACCAATGGACTATGGAGCATTATTGGTACCTTGGTGGTGGGAATCGTGTAGTAAAATACACTTGAAGAGATATGAACCTAGACTTCTAAGATACAGTGTTATAAACCAAATTTACCTCAATAAAAAATAAAATAATTTTATAGTATAAATAAAAACCTTAAAAGACCTCAACATATGAATTGGGGGTTGGGGGTGGGGAACACAAACCTTCATTCACTAACACCATTATAAGGGGTTTAGGTTTTATTTTCCTGCAGTAAAATCATTGCAAGGATTGTAATACAAAAGTGACATATTCATAGATCAGATCAAATTTGTAGCAACCCAGAGTAGCTAATTTTGCAATAGGGTATAGATTCTTCTTTTTAATTCTAAGGAGAGGCAATAAGTAATGGTTTATGACAGGTAAAGGTTACTTTTTTGTTGTTGTGGAAAAACTTGTTGAAAGAGACACTAGTTTCAGTGGACTCATAGATGTCAACAAAACAGACTGTGAGATGGTGGCTTAGACTAGGATGACAGTGGTGAAAATGAAAAACACTAGAAAGATTTGACATGCTATTTCAATACAGCAGCAACAGAGATATGTAGATGTCAGTTGAAGGCATGAATGTGGTGCAAGTTGCTGGAGTGGAAACACTGGTGTACTGTAGTGGCTAGTGGAGTTGTGGATTGACTTGTTGCATTTGAGATGCTGGCAAACATCTGAGAAGGCAGGGTTAGCAGACATCTGCAAAACAGAATTCAGAGGAAAGGTTTTAGAGTTAAGCTGGTATTCAGAACATAGTGATGGAAGTTAAAGCCTTGGGAAGTGAAGAGATCCCCAGAGAGAGAATGATAAACAAAAAAGAGGGTTTAAGATTGAACTAAATGCCAACAAGTGGAGGCCAAAGAGAGAAAGAAGGGTCTACAAACAACAGGAAAACACTGCGATTATGAGTACAAAATGGTGTTCACCAGCACTGAAGGGGGATGTGTGTGGGCAAATTAGATAAGGGGCTCAACAGTATACTGTTATAGAGAAATTAGACTTTTGGGTGAGAATCATAATGAAGATTATGCAGATGTGAAGTTACCATATGTATACCTGAAACCTACATGATGTTATAAACCAACATTACTTCAGGAAAAAAATTTTTTTTTTGAAGAGATCTGCAGGTGAGTCAGAAGAGGACTTGGCAGAGAAAGAAGGAAAACTAAGGCAGCATGGAGTTAATTAAGCAAAAAGTTGAGGGAAGAAAGGAAGAGAAGGATGAAGTGTCTATTGTATTGAAGGCAGGACTAGGTCAGGACTTTAAAAAAGCATAAGGCTTAAATTAGATGTTTTAACACATTTGTTATTTCCCATGTGGTTTATCTACTAGCATGTTTCTCCTGCTCATCTGCAGAATTAATGACTGCCATCTGAGTCGTGGACACTGTAAAATCACATACATGAAAGAAAAATCTCTCATCTTTGTAATGAATTTTGATTCTCCTTGAATTCTCTGGATAATTTCTCTGTTTCTCTCCATTTTTCTATCATATACAGAATCTATAATCTTCTAAAGTTTCCATTTTCCAAATATAAAGTTATTTTGAAAATTATCCATGTTCTCTTAAAACCATTAGCTCTTCACCTTCAATGTATTTGAAATTGTCATGTGGTAGGAGCCTTGGAATATTAAGCTTATCGAAATGTTAGGACAAGTTTTCCCTAGAGGGTGAGTAGTTTTAAATTCAAAGTGGAAAAAAATTCCCTATCTTAAAATAGAAGCAAATTTTTTTTTCTATTTCACATTCTCTCAAGATATCCGCAATCCTTTTTAAACTCTCTATTTATTATTAAATACAAGCAATTTAGCTCCTTTGTAAGGTTATGCAAATAACTCATCCAGAATTAGCATTTAACATGCAGTTCTTATATCCACACAAATGTTTTGTATAAAGTTGTTTTAAAAAGATTCAAATCTTTATAATTAGGAAGGGAAAATATATTAATAGGAATAAAGGGATACTCTGCTAATCTCCCATATGTAAATTACCATATAATTTCCATCAATTACTTTAGAAGCAACAGAACAATGGAACTTTTATTCTTCAATATTGCTTGCTGTCTCTCTTCTTCTCCTGCTAGAAGGTATGTGCTTATACATATATATATCTAAAGAAATTGACAGGGAATGTTAAATACTTTAGTTATATGAGAAAGAGCCAGTTGGTAACTTGTGAGTAGGATTGAAGTCGGTACTCTGTGCTCTGGCAGCCTGGGGGATAGACTACAGTGTAGACACTCACGTTCTCATTTCCATTAGCTGTTTCTCCTTAGCCTGTTTTCTAATAGAGCTGGGTCCACCTTTGCTCAGAGGATCCCTTTCTTCTACCTCTGCATACTCTCCCAATTTTTACATAGAAGACATTATTGTAAAAAGTAGGGGTAACTGTTATAGTTTCATTGAAGAACTTTCTTTTTGCTTTAGTCTCTAGCTTGGCCTTTCAGGAAAAGAATCGAGTAGGCTGCATGTGGAAATTGGTCAACAGTATAATATTGGTGAGATCTTTTCAATCTCACTTACTTTGTAGGGTTCCTGGACTCAGTTCCAATGTGAGCGTGTGTGGAGACTTTCCTACGCCAACAAACAACTATTGAACACCAGCAGGGTATGAGAGAACGGAATTCAATGCTATCGGAGATGGCATCAGATTCCTCAGGTGAAGGCATCAGTATCCCAAGACTGCCTTCCATTTCAGAGGACAACTGCAAGTCCAGGCTGTTACTTGTGTTTCTGACAACTGCTTACACATTGGAGGTTCCCCCAATCCACTTGTTATGCTTCAGATGCCTGCCACAGGCCAGCATTGTTACCTGTGTGCTTCTGAATGACTGGCTATAAATCATAGGTTCCCATGACTCTCTCCTCCACTTTAATTAATTTGCTAGAAAGGCTAAAGATCGAAGAAAACACTATTATGCTTTGGATTGATGATATATTACAAAGGATATAATTCAGGAAGAATCAAATGGAAGAGAAGCATAGGCAAAGTACGGGGAAAAGGTTGAGAGCTTCCTTGTTTCTCCTTTCTTCCCAAATCTCTAGGTATTCACCAACATGGAAGCTCTCTGAAGTCCTTCTGGGCTTTTAATGAAGTTTTTATTACATAAACATGGTAAACATGGTTGATTAAATCACTGACCATGGGCAAATGATTTGATCTCTAGTTACTCTCCCCTTCCCAAAGATCTGGAGGTCGGACTGAAAATTCCAACCCTCTAATCACATGGTTGGTTCCCCTGGCAACCTGCCTTCATCCTTGGGTGCTTCTCCAAAGTCACTTCATTAACATAACAGGAAACACCTTTATCAAGCTCAACAATTAGGAAATTCTAAGGCTTTGGGAAGCTATGAGCCAGAAACTGTGGATGAAGACTGATGTGACTAAGAAATACATTTTGGTCATCTGAATAACCAAATTTGTATTTTTTTATCTTATAAATTACAACGACTATGTATATATTTGTTATAAATTACAATGTTGCACTCACCTTATGGCGTTTGCCTTTTCTCTTTTAAGAGTCCATCAGTTGAACATAACTAGGTGAACTCAGACGGTGAAGGATTCAAAAGCAAGGTTGACGCAAAAGTGCCAAAAGGATTACATTGAACCTGGAAGAAAAAAGCAGAGCTCTGAAGAGACTTGAAGTATGGAACAGGTTTAAATAAGTCCCTTAAAGTAGAATGAGGAAGAATGGGTGAAATATATAAATAGGGTACCTATTTATTTTTCAAAAAATATTTAGGAAATCATCATGTACCAGACAGAGAACTGGCTGACTGAACACGAGACTTTTTTTTAAAGAAGCATTTATCCCTTCAGGGAAGTTGCTGTTCTGTGGGGAAATAGACATACAAGCAAACAATTATAATAGGTCATGATAAATGCAACCATAGAAATATGTATAGAATACAAATAGACGAAGGCCATTCTTATTCAAGCTTTCCTTGGCATCCCTGAGCAGATAAGAGTCTACTTTTTTTTTTTTTTAAAGATTTATTTATTTATTTATTTATGCATACAAGACTGGGGCACAGGCCCAAGGTATGGGGGGTGAGAGGACTCACCAGAGACAGAGTGGGGATCAGAACAGGCAGACAGACTGAAGTACACTGCTGAGGGGAGCAGTGGGTGAGCCAGGAGAGGTATGCTGCGCCATGTGGGCTGCTCCCTGGCCAGCTGGAGGATCAAATTTGTGCTGCAGTGGCTGCAGACAGCCCCATAGGCTGCGCTCCAACCCCTTGCGCCACCAGGGAGGCCCCAACAGTCTATTTTACTCCATGCCACTGATACCACCTCATCCAGAACTCCACTATTTCTCATCCAAACATCTGCCACTGTCTCAGGGCTGGTCTTCTGGCCTCCACCTTTGCTGTTTCCCCTCTTTCATCCAGAAAGCAGCCAGTAATTTTCCAAAAAGGAAACCCAATCATGTCATTTTCCCCGCTAAAAAGCCTTCAGCAACTTTCCAATATCCTCAGTCTTATCTCTGCTTCCATCTCAAGTTTCTATCATTGCTTTCCACCTTAGTTCTGGTTTTAATGACCTACTTGCCATTTTCCTAAGTCATCATTTCTTTCTCATCCCTGAGCTTCTTGTGCTCCCTCTGCCAGAAACAACTGCCCTGCCCTCAGAATTCATACATATAGTCATACAAAAAGAATCCTCTCTCTCTCTCTCTCTCTCTCTCTCTCTCTCTCCCTCTCTCTCTCTCTCACACACACACACACACACTTACTTTGCCATTAGCCTTATAAATTCATATTCTTCTCTCTGGTCCACCATGCCCCAAGACTCACTGCCCCCCCTCATGTGGAAGCAATCTCTCTATGCATCTAATCAATGAGCTCATCACACTGTATTGTGCTTGGCTATTTATTTTTTTTTACTAGAATAAAAGTTCCTTGAGTGTAAAGGTCTTATTCATCATTGTATTCCCAGATGCTAACACAGGTCCAGTTTATCATAGAGGATAACTAGGTATTTTTTTAATAGATGAGTGAAGAAACTTTCAAATAATGCTATACAAAAATGTGAGGAGGTAAGATCCCTGTCTCTGCCTGCATATATGGCACACATCTCCATGAAGTGACTGTTAGAAAACGTGAAAGTTTCTAAAAGACTATAAGGCCACAAATCTGTTTTATATCCTTTAGAGAGTGGCAATATACAAGTAAATAAGAAATATTTCTTACCAATGGGCAACAATGACCAGGCTTCTTGATTTTCAGCATTGGGCAAAATTCCAACTTCAGGGTGAAACATCCCACAGATCCTGAGCAATACATTCCTCCATGGCAAGAAAAGCTGCATCTGGCGAACTTCATGAGGGTGGCTGGGCAGACAGCTAGAACACAGGGCCACTTGGCTGAATTTAAGAGGAGTCTGGCTTTTGTTTCTTCTTTCGTGTATTTTAAATGTGCAAAAATTCCAGCATACTCATAACACATCCTGTCTTCCCTCTATCTATTCTCCTTGCCTTTACTGCTTCAGTGATTTCTAACTGCGAGCACCTGCATTTCTTTGCCTTGAATTTTCTCTTGCTGCCAGAACCCACTTTGTAGCTTCAACTTCAAGTTGCAAGAATTTGACTCTCCTCTTCAACCCTCAAGCAAAGTCTAACCAAAAACTGGTATATAACTACACCTCAGGTGGAATCATTTTAAACACATGTTCTATTCTGGCTCCTGGAGGTCCCCTGCCGGGATCTGGCTCCAGCTGCCAGCAATACAGAACTGCCTTCTTGTTCCTGTCACCCTGCCTTCCTCTCCTTCATGGTTTCCCAGGCACACACCCAAATAAAACCAAATTCTTGCCTCAGGCTTTACTTTGAGGGGAACCCCAACTATGACAACTTCGACAAGCTCCTTTCTTCTCATCTTGAAGCATGAATCTGTCTGAGAAGCCTAAAGCATGTTAATTATGATGAGGGACCCTCTTCCTCACTAGAGTTTGACTGGGCAGGTGGGAGGCTGAGGATGGGTGCCTGCTCAGAGGGCCAGCTTTACAGAAGTGGTTTAATTTGGGCAACTGGAGCCAACAGCCACCAGGGAAACTGTGGGACCCAAGGGCAGGACACATGCTTTAATTTTATCTCACCTGAGGGAGATATATACCAGCTCAGGCTACTCTTTGACTTCTGGATAGGTTATTAATTACTTAGACTCATAAGGGGAATTATCCCCTTTCTTGCATATGTATGTCTTATAAATCTGATGAGGCCAAAATATTATGGAGTCTGAGCAGACCATGGCTCAATATTTACACACCTGTCAGCCTTGGAAATTTCCATATGGTAATTAAATCCAATGATCGCTGAGTTCTTATCTGAAAAATGCTCTTTCCATCCCTTTGTCCCATGGAAAGCAGACCTCTCACCTGCCAAGGCAAATAAGAGACTTTCAGATTTTAGAACTGGGTCTTAATGTTTACCTAATCATACCACACACTTTAACCATGAGGAAACTGAGGCCCAGAGTAGTAAAGTGCTCTCACTTCCTGTTCTTACTCCAGTACTCTATCCCACGGCATCATAAACAAGACAGATTTAATGCCCATCCTTTGACTATTTTAGACAAGATTTTCCATGAGAGAATGAATTTCTAATGAGAGGGCAACATTAGTTGCAGTAAATGTGCAGGTCAAAGTCTTCAAGAAGTGGTTTCATTCCAGAATCTTTCTTCCATGTGCAGGAGAGAGAGAGAGAAAGAGAGAGAGAGAAGGCTGGAGAGCCCAGATAGAGTGCAGACTTCTGGGAGCTGGGAGAACTGCCAGCCTCCCGGCCCCCCAGCACCCCTGCCTGCCATGTGCCTGGTAAATCTAAGACCTGCAAAAACCACTGAGGACTCTGACTCCTCCTTTACCCGGTCTGCTGGATCAGAAAACCTGCTCCGTGGTCATTCCTGCCTCTACACTTTCTCTCACATTCTCTCTGCTCTTCCTATGGCTCTGCTTCTCTCTCGGCTTCTGCTGCTTTTGCTTCTCTTTTGGCTTCTTCTGCTGGTGTCCCTGTGATGCCGCCCTTAAAAGCCCAGTCTTAGCCCAGGTGAATCCCATCCACCTATGCCACCTTATTGCAGGTGCCCGCCATCAGGCATGCATTCAGGACCGCAAGGATCCATCATCTATCCTGATGGCGGGAGGGCAGAAAAGCCTGACATTTTCTTTACCCTACACAGAGGTTCCAGGGGACCCCGGCGAATCTTCGCCTTTTCTGCGCTCTCCGGCGTTCTCTCGTGGTCTCGTTTCTGCTTCTGCTCATTCTCCTTCTCTCGCTTGTTCAGCTTCTGGTCTGGTTCCAGTTCCACGCTTATAAGCCAGTCTCAGCCCAGGTGCACCCACCTATGCATGCCCACACCCTACTCCAGGAGTCCGCCATCGGGCATGCATTTAATCTAATGGCGGGAGGGCAGAAAAACCTGATAATTTTTACTTACCCTATACAAGCACACCTGCTTCCCCCTCCCTTCCAAAATTGGAGAATCACTATTTAGACTGAACTTTCCACAGGAAAGTGATGATTATTCTTAAGTGCGCATGATTTAACCTTTTGTCAGTCATGTGATCGCAACAGTCCTCCACCAGAAGAGTGTAAGTTCAAAGTTATAAGCTACCATCATGTCCCCTTCTGTTGGTACTGTGAAAAAACTCAGGTTATCTCAACTAATGAGAAACTAAAGAAAACACACACACACACACACACACAAGGAAATGAGGACAGCAAGTATTTCAGGGAATTAGAAAAAGCTTACAACTAGGCCTCATGGTGATGGTTTGTATTTCGGTATTTTGTAATTAACATGACTTAACTTCTCTCTCCTGATATTTCTGAGGAATTTCTCTCTGCATGCTCATTTTCTTCTTTATGACTCTGGCATTATTAGAGCTCCTGCTCATTTATAACCTTTACTGCCTCGTGGTCTTTGCAAACAGCCTTCTCTGTGTATTCTTTCACCTTCAACCCCTCTGGTAATTGCTCAACTCTGGGTTTTTTTTTTTTTTCCACTTTTATATTTCTGAGAGAAAAAATCTCACTTCCCTGGCTAATCAACATCATCCTGTTATGGATAACGATGTTGAGTCAAGCCACCTAATAAACCTGTGGGTAGTCTGTATATCTGTTAGCCTTTCATCACTTTATCTAGTTGATGATGGTTACATAAAATGTTATGTAAAATGCTTAAGAAACCATCTATATCTGCTTTTCTTCACCTGTGGCTGTAGACAGTGCCTACCTAGGAGAGACAGTAAACATGGGCAATCTAGATATCTCAGAGGCAGGTCTGACTACGGTGATGATGCCTCCCTGATCCTCACTCTTAGTACCTTACATTCATACATAGAATGCAGTGGATTTATGGCATCCAGACAAATAATAAATGGAGAAGTTCCCCCTTCTTGATCAAAAAGGTTCCAGATCCCCCTGAAAGAACCTCTCTGGTAGCCTAAAAAGAAGGAATGTGTTCTGATTCATGGACCCTGGGCCTCTTTGAACCAAATCTTAAATGCATTTGGTACATGATTTAGTTTCAGAAAAAGTGATTATTGGCTAATCATCCTACCTCATGATGATTTGATATTGAAAATGATGTATCTGTGTTTTGGCTATCTC